TATACATTTTTTATACAATAAAAATTTTCTCTGTTCCTTCTAAATTTAGATGGTCCAGAAAATGTAAATTTGATATTATCTCCATCACAAGGATACTTTGCTGTGGGGTCAGACATCAGCCTCACCTGCTCAGTTGGATCCAGACCTCCTGCCCAGTTTAACTGGTTTCTGAATGGAGATCAGCTGCCTGACACTGGATCAGAGCTCAGACTGATGAATGTTAACATGAATAACAGTGGAAACTACAGCTGTCAGGCCTTTAACAACAAAATTCTGAGATCTCAAACATCTCAGCCTTCAGCCATCACTGTACTGGGTAAGTCTGATTTGCTGTTAAAAATGTATGATTTACGCATTCTCTGCGACTACTTTGCTCAGATAATACTTTCATATATTTAAAAAGACATTTGTGCAGGAAAAATATTGATATATAAATATATGATATTTTTTCTCATGCAGAAGAGATAAATAGCTCATAGGAAAAGAAGCTCAGGTATAATGAAGAATTTACAACACAAACAAAATATATTGAGCTATACGCGAGTAGCCTAACATGACAACATTTTGTGTAAGCCACCAAAATCCTTAAAAAGTCTTCAGTTCATTTGTGAGTCATCATTGCTACAACATAGTTAATCTAAAGAACCATATCATCAGGATGTAACAATAAAGACTAATAATTTTTAGCAATACTCAGCTTTACATGTTTTGACACAGGATCACACAGTCTTGTTCAGTCTTGTCAGCATCACCAGCAAGCAGATAAACCTGTCTTTCATCTGTTAGTTTCTAACCTGTACGTGCATTTTCTTTCTTAAAAATCTGTCTCTTGGCAAACAGAGAAATTATCAGGTGCTTCAATCTTGCTTAAATCTTCAACAAACCTGCCAGCTGAGGGGACCTCTGTCAGCTTAACCTGTGAGGCTTCTGGCTCAGTCTTTACCAGAAACTGGATGAAGGATGACTCCAAACTGACCCTGACTGACAACATGACCCTTTCTGACAATAACAGAGTTTTGACTTTTAACATTTTGAAGAAGAAAGACGAAGGAGAATATTTTTGTAATATCAGCAACCCTGTCAGCAGCGATGGAGCGAAATATGTTCTGATTGTTAACTGTAAGTAACATGCTGTTCGGTTTACACTGTTCACACGTATGGTCATACAATATTGAACTACAATATTGGCACCACTGACAACATATTTAATCAAGCAATGTATTTTTTTAAATGCAATGAACACATTTATTGTTTATATTACTTTACTATGTAGATGGACCAGAAAATGTTCAAATTGGAGCTCCAAAAAAGATCCATATCAATATCAAAGACACCTTAAATTTGACCTCTATCCAGCTGTTCATGTTCATTCATTTTCAATAGTGCTCATTCCTTTGGGGCAATGAGTTGTTCCCAAGCCAGCCAAGTGATATAATCTCTCCAGTGAGTCCTGGGTCTTGCCCCAGGCCTCCCCAAAACCTTTTTTCCTACGTGGCATCTAGGAGGCACCCTCATCAAATGCTCATTTCTTTTAATGCTTATTTCTGCTGCTTGTATCATTGAGGATGTCCCAAAATGTACACCGTACAAGAGTTTGTGATCATAGATAAGGATACAAAGGCTGAATGAATGGTAAATCACCACCTTCCCTTTCACACTCAGCTCTCTCTTCACCCCTGCAGACCACACAGTGTCCACATCTCTGTGGATGCTGCGTGGATTCAGTCTCAGATTCAAGATTCAGATTTGGAGATGCTGATTCTCATTCATACTAAGCTATGAAAAGCTCCAGTGCAACATGGAGGTCAATAACTGATGAATACAACAGAGCCACATCCTCCACAAAAAACAAACATGAAATCCTGAAGCCACCAAAGAGGAACACCCCCCACAGGATCTCCTAGTGGATGCAGGATCCACCAAGGACCTTGTAGTCACTGCTCAATGCAGCCAGCTCAGCAATGGTGGTGTGGAGCATGGTCCGCTTTGACTCAATGTTTCCAGCCTAACATGTAACGCAATCAAAGCTCTACTAGAGGCGAGAATTCAAGATCTTGTGGACTGGGAACTCTGCCAGATGTTCATAGCACGCCCTCACTATACTAGATGAGAGAAAGCGGTACCTAGTTAGTTAGAAATATTGTAGTATAATAATATATAATAAGCTCAAATTATTCATGTCTATTTTTAAAAAATATTTTTTTTCCATTACCTACTCCTCCATAATGTTTTTGTAATCAATGTAAACATTTATCATGCCACCCATATCTGATTTGTACTGCACTACAAACTTCTTAAAGTAGATTTAAAAGAACAAGGAAAACAAAATGTAATTTATTAAAAATTATAATACTATTGCCTTTAAAGTAACTACCGCCAGAGAGTGAGCTGCAATGCACTCTCCGAGTGCTTCTTCTTATTTATTCCTCATAGATGTTGTCAGAATCCCTAACCCAGGACCACTTTGCCTTGGGGGACCCTACCAAGGGCAAATTCCCCCAACAACATAGCACCTGAAATCTCTGGAACATACAAGCTGCAGTAAGGTGGAAATTTACAGAGGGGTTAAATTTGACCTGCTCTTCTAAATCCACACAATCTGATTGACTTCATTCTTTAATGGGACAGATCATTAACAATAAGGTTGACTACATAAAAATAGAGGTTTTTGTGCTTCAGTCTCTCTTTTCTGAGAGAAGGAAGCACACCTTTAAAGCGTGGAATAATGTAACTGTGAGAGCATCATCATGAGCAGTGTATTATTTTACTGTGACAGGTACCTGTGTGCACTGATACTGTTAGATGTTGCAGTGTGCCTATAGTATGGTACCACTAATAGTTTAAATGATGTACGTTTCCTGGAGTTTTAATGTTTTCTATGAATTAAATTTTGGAAATGTATCCTAACACTTAACTACCCTTTATCAAAACATTAATCTTCAGCAAATGTTTGCTGAAACTACACAGTGCATTTATCCTTTTGACAAATTCAAGTGCTCTCCAGACAAAGACAGCAATGTACTGACCAAAAGTCCTCTGAAACCTGTTCAATTATGAAATCAAACAAAGAGAGACATTTTTGGAGAGTTTTGAGATGGTGAGACAACTTTGTGTCATCTTTATTTTATCTCTATTTGAACTTCCCCAGACCAATCATCAGAATGTGCTGCAGGTTGTATCGCTGGGATTGTAATCGCATGTTTTGCCATCGTTGCTGTTGCTTGTGGTGTAGGATACTACTTTTATAGGCGAAGGTAGGTGGTTTTAATGGTTTTATTACTCTTGAAATCTGTGTACTCAGTCCACTTCTAAACACCTTTGGTACATAAGCATAACTTATCAGTGTTACATGTAATTTATTTAACGTCATATCATTTCATGAAATAACCACAGAGGTGCAAGTATTTCAGTGCACTATTTGTTTAAACAAACAAGTCTTTATCATTTATTGTTAGGGTTGGATTTAAATAAATGTAAATGTTTAGTGTTACAGTTTTGTGTAACTTTGTGGACAGACTTTGATATGTGCTTCATTTATTATATTTAGAACCAACAAAAATCCACAGACACATAATACAGGTGAGTAATATTTTAATATACATTTAACTTGTACATTTTTAATAGCAAAATAAAGAAAATATAAATAAAATTACTGTATCAAAATCTGTTATTTTTGACCAGGAGAACATGTGTATGAGAACACTTAACCATATGACAAGAAAATTTGAACTCTTTGTTTACATTTCCATTTTAAGGTAAGTATTAAATTCACTG